ATTGACTTTTGTTCACACCTATGCCATTCTTATAAATATTACAGAAGGTCATCCTCTGTATCCCTATTTTATCAGCCTCTGATAAATTAATCTCAATTTAATAATAGCCAACACTTATATTATAAGGTCTATAATTTCATTTTTTACAAAGCAACTTTATATGAACCTCACAGCAACCCTGTGAAGTGATATTGTCCCTAGATGGAGAAAAAGGATCAAAGGGATTAAATAAGTCCCTTTAAGCAACAAATACAATGTATTAAATTATCATAGCTACCCATATTTTTTTTTGCCTGCCCTACATTCTTTGTGATTTCTGTGGTTTTCATGCCCCTGTTCAAAATTATCTCCAGGAGGTTGTTAATGATGGTGGCGCCACTTCATCCCACTAAGTAGGTTGGGCGCATGACCCAAAATGGCAAGACCACTTTGATTAGAGACTGAAATACGACTCCAACACAGTTAGTTGACCATCTTTGAATTAATATTTAAATTTGGGGAGAGTTATTTCATTTTCCTGGGGTTGCTAAATGCATGGAGATGAGTCTAACACGCTCAGCTGCCAATGTGTCCATAACACAGAAAGAGCTTGCATACTAAGTCAAGCAGGAACAAATCAAGCTGACAAATGTATTACTAGACCAAACCCTGACAACATGTTTTTTAACCACAAGATCCAGCCAACCCTGAAAGACCACTCTGAAAGCTATGGAGGACACACTGCAGGGAGGTAAAGTGCAAGGCAGGGCAAGAATAAGATGGTAGCTGCAGGGAAGGTAAGACATAGATTCTGGATATATTTTGAATGCAAAACTGACAGGTTTTGCTGCCAGATTAGTGAGAAATGTGTAATAAAAAGGAGGTTAAGAGTAAATCTAAGAGACTTGACCTGAGCAACTGATAAATGGAAGTGTTATTCATTGGAGAATGGTGAGTCTGGAGAGGCAAATGTAGGTTTAGGGGGGAAAAATGAAGAGATAGGTTTATGGTACAATAAGTTTGAGATGCTTGTTAAACATTCTAGAGTAAATGTTGGGTGAGCTGGTAGATCATATATCTGGAGTTCAGGAGAAGGCCCACACTAGGGGAAAAAAACTGTGGAAGTCATTAGCATATAGATGGAAATTCAAGCCACAAGTCTGGATGGGATTATCTAAAGCAGAGAAACAGCCTAAAGAGAGAATCCTGGGGCATTACACTGTTTTTCAAATAGAGAAGGAACATCCAGAAATAATGTGTAACATGCAAGCCAATAAAAGAATGTGTTTCTAAAAAGGAGGGTGTGACCAACCTTGTCTAGACAGCTACTGGGTAGAGTAAAATAAGAACTGAAAGTCAACCACTGGATTTGACATGTTCGTGGGTGACCTTGACAAGAGATGTTTCTGTGGAATGATAGGAAAGAAAGCCTCAAGAATGAATTCAATAAAAAAAATAAAAACAGGAGGAAAAGTGGAGAAGTATGTAGTTAACTTTTTCAAGAGAGTAAGGGAAGCAGAGCTGAGAAACAGGCAGTAGTTGGAGGAGAATTACCAGTTACGGTAGAAGAGGAATCTTACATACCCTAATGGGGGCAGAAGAGGATGAAGGTTGCCAAGGGTAGTGCCCTCTGTCTCTCTTATTCTTTGGGATGGGCAGTGTTCCCTGGTCCTTGGATACTATTTTCCTTGTTAGGATTAATGACTGAAGCCTGAGCTGACATAGCTTGTGATCTGGTCTTTCTTGGCTTGGTCAAAGTCTGGTAGTGCTTCCTGGCTGACTCATTCTCAGCCCTGAGTGTTTGTTACATCTTCATTTCTCCCACAGGCACCACAGCTCCCTTAGCTCGGAGGTCACCTAGTCCCATCAGGGTAGACACCAAGACAAGAATACTGCTCCCAGGTCAGTTACTATGCCACACCCAACTGAAGGGGGTTAAGCCGAGACCCAGTGTCTCCTTTATCGTTATCATCCTGTGCAGTCTAATTTACTTTGACATGGCATGTCCCAGAATGATATACAGCAGCTCCCCTTCCACATTAAGCTCATTTAATGAATTATTTTACACACAGAGGCAAACACACTCCCATGACAAAGCCCAGAGAGTAGAAAATTAGCAATAAGTTCATTCTTCCATCCTCTTAACCTTCTCTCTCTCCTTTCTCCTTTCCTTAATTTCCCAGAATGGAAAGTGGACAAGCTTTCTCTACATCAGATCCCCCTCCTACAATGAACAGCAAAATCTGAAGACAGAATGTGTTTTTTCTTTACATTTGCAAGAAAACTCTGTGATCGTAAACTCATTGCCTGCTTTTTCAGGCTAGATTGATAATCTACTAAATGGAATGGAGGGAGGAAAGTCAAAGAAATTGAGCAAATTTATTCTTAAAATAACACCCTGTCTTTCAGGGTTACAGTCCTGCTGCATACTCCTGTTTTGTTTGTCATAAAATGAATATTACCTTGGTTTTTTCTGTCACAGCCTTTCTGGAACTTTTCTTTTCTTTTTAAAACTTATAAGAGTTTATTTGAGCCAAACTGTCCACAATTGCCAGGAAGCAAAATCTCAACGGATTGAGAAAATGCTCCCTGGAACTTTTCTAATCCCCTCAATTCCCTCCCCTATAATTTTCCTCAACCCCCAGGTAAATGCCTTGGGCGACATGGAAAGGGCATCATAATCAGAAAGGTAAATGAGAAAAAGCTTCAAAGGAAAAGGGCTACAGCAGGTCTATCCAGACAGGCCTTTCCCACACATTACCTTTCGCTGCACCTCAGCTCTGCAGACTCAAAAATCACAACTTCACAGCATAAAGGGAATATATTTCCCATGGGTAGACTCACACAAAAGTCCAGAACACTGGTGGGTAAAATCTGAGTGCCAGATTATTGATTTACAATGAGAAATTTAACTGAAAACTTCTACCCCCCAGCCAATGCATTTTCTGTCCCCACAAGCACACTGCATAGAAAGTCAAACTTTAATCTGAAGGTTGCTTGCTGGGCAGAGACTCAGGGCAAGTTGAGTTAATTATATGAGTCCCATGTTTTGTAGGATCAGGGCTTCTTGAGCCTGAAGCATCCATCTCCATGGTAGGATACACCTTCAAAAGACACATCTTTGATTCTGGAAACTTTCTTGTCTCACCAGAGCTGAGCGAGCTCTGAGTTCTGCCATCCTTCGTCTCTCAGAAGCACTTTTCAATGCTTCTATGGCCAACCGACTCTCTTTTGATGGATCCTTATTTCTTTAGACATGATAATAAAGCACTTTCAATCAAGATACAGGTTTTTAGATATAGTGATTTTGTGTCATCATTACTTATTGAGTGTAAAGCTTAACTCAGAGTAATGTTTTCAAGCTTCCCTCATAATAAGAATCAATTAGGGCCCTTTGTTTAAAAATTGTATTAATAATACAGCTTTCCAAGCCCTTTCCCTGGAGATTCTGATTCAGTAGGTCAGTGGCTAGGGAATAGTTTGTGTTGTTAATAAACACCCAGGTGATTTTTATCTTCAGGGAGATTGGAGAATCACTATTTTAAAGAACAATATAGTGTATTTTATTTCTGTGTTCTTGACTGGGCTCTTCATTACGGCAAACATATACAATATATATATAAACAACATGTATACTAATTATATCTACACTTTATTAGCACCTCATAAAACTGATTGCTTCATATCTGAGAGGAAGTAAAAATCAGGGATTTGGAGAATTGTTTCTCAAACGTAAGTGTACATATAAACTACTCAGGAGTCCTATTTCAATGTAGGTGTTGATGAGTAGGTCTGTGGTGTAGCCATTGGGAATCTTCAAACNTCAATACATGCATGCTGCCATTTATGGGTAATTTTCTATGGGGGCTTTAGGCAAGTGTGGCTTTTCCAACACAAAATGTTTAGCCTTTGACTTGTAACCAACTACTAGCACAAAATAGAATCTCAATATTTTCTGGATGAATCTATAATTGATAGATTACAATGATTTTTAAACAAAGTAATAAAGGTCTGCCTGTTAAATAATTGGCTTACTGAACATATGTTAATATAGACTTTCTATACAAATTTTATTTTAGGGCATTAACCCTTGAAACTAGTGAAATTTCTCTCAACATTGCCATACAAGCATTTGACAAGGGCTGGGGTTGGATTCCTTGTTTGTATTTGATAGAGATATTGAAGTAGGTCATATGGATACAGATTTGTGGCTATATATATTCAATTATGGCTTTTTATTTCTATTATGATTATAAATGTAACTATAGTTGTGGATATAGGTATTATTTTCAAACTCCAGTTGAATTTGAATATGTAAAGGAAGGGCGCCTCGTTAGAGTGTGTATGTATGTATGGACATGCCCCTATACAATCTAGTTTTCTTATTTGCTCTCCCATTGTATGTGCATGCATGCATGTGTGTGTGCATGTGCATGTGTGAATTAACCTTATTTCTTTCTTTGGTTTACCAAGCACTAATTACTTAATTTCCCTTGAAAAATCAGGTTTTCATCAACTTTGCCAAAGACCAAAAATCCTACGAAACTGCTGATACCAGTAGCCAAGTTTCCACCATAAGCATTGACTCACAGGATGACCGGATGGAGTCTTAGCACCTCCAACAAACACGATCTCAGCAAAGGCAATGACTTCATTTTGGGGAAGAACCACAGAAGACACCACTTCTTGAAAATATCTTAATTTTAAAGTATTATATTATATAGAAAGTTACAATTGTATAAGACTAGCAAGTAACTATAACCAGAAAGTTTTCTTTCTCAGGTCAATGAATGTTATTGCTACTGAAATGAATTCCTGTATACTCAATACTGTGAGTGTGCTACTGGTGACTCTTACGCAAAGTTGGACTTCCTAAAGAGAAATGTCTTAATTTATTACTTTCAATAAAAAGACAGCTTAAAAGGCATGGTTATTAGTAGTTGAAAAGTAAGAGTGGGAAATAAAAAGTAAGGTATCGTGGGGTGGGTAACATTGGAAGAACAAATCAAATAATTTATTTCCAGAAAATAACAGAATGAATGTCATCATGAGTACATAAATACACTGTGATGTTTAAAGTGCTAAAGGTCAGGTTAACAGTAGCAGTAAGCAGTGGTCATAATGTCTGCAATGTATATGTTATTTTCAGTACCTGTAAATAGTTGGAGACATACTGAACAACAACAAAAAATGGCTTTCTACAATACTTCCATTGGAGAGCCGTTTACCCTGGTGGTAAACAGAACTTAGACATATTCCTGCCATGCCTTGACAATAGGAAGGTACAGGGCAGAGCAAGATGCTACTTGCTCTCCGGGGGAAATGGGTGTGTCAGCTGGACAGATACAAATCCTGAAAACTGATAGAGAATTCATGTGCTGCTGGCAGGCAATGTTTGTTTGTTTTTTTTAAGCTCTTACAATAAAAGCCTCATATGCTGGGTTTCTCTGCAGGAAACATTCCTGTAGAGAGAAAATGAATATGAAGATAATTTTCAGTTAATTACCCAGCTGACCCAGAATCATGTATTTGGCTATAGGATTGATAATAATGCCAAGTTATATGGCCCTCAGGGAAGGGGCTTTGTGTAACTTTTGTGAGTGTGTGTGTGTGTGTGTGTGTGTGTGTGTGTGTGTGTGTGT